CGAACTGCTAGGTTGGCAGGAGCTGGAACTAGAGACGGGAGCTCACTCCGTCACGCGGCACACTCGGGTCTCGAACTGCTGAACTACCGACCTTCCACAGCCTGCAGTTCAGCGTCTTAACCACTTGAGCCACCGCAGCTCCTTCCCGCAGTGAGTTCCACTTAAACTCCTTCCGGAACATGTCTGACTGACTGGGCCTGCCTTCTGTAGTTCTGGAATGGGTTAGAGCTATTGCCTCGTGTGTTGATATCAGGTCCTGGAGGAATGATAAACTCTGCTGAGGGCCTGACACCCTTGCCCATACGCTCCCCCAGCATGTGGGCATAACAGGAAAGCAGTGAACCGGCAGGAAATACATTTCTTTGCTTGAATACACACACAAGGATCTTTGTGTATAGAGAAGAGCTGTACCGCCAGGGTTGCCAGACGCTCGATCGGAGCAAGGGATTCCCCCACCAGCACTTCCTGTCTCCTGCCAGTGCTCAATAGTATGGCAGGGGGGAAATGGAGGAGGATGGTGTTGCTGCGTCATGTGACATTCAAGGAATTCCCTGATCTCTATGGTTTCTTATCATAGAGTTTCGGGGAAATTCTAAAATGCGGAGTGATGCAACAATGTCCCTTCCAGTTACGCAGCTGCCAAGTGATGTCACGGCACTGCATGATGCCATTTCACCAGGTCTCTCCCTACTCCCCCCCGCCCCCGGGTCTCCTGCAGTTGCCAGTTATGACTGGGCAACCCTCTGTGGTCCTCTGCTGATATCCACCAGCCCACGTTTTGACGGGGTGAAACCGATCGGTGCTTGAGAGGTCATTCCAAGAAGCAGGACATGCCTTCCAATGTCCACTGGGAGAGCTCTCTTTCCTACCTCCCTGTAAAGGGGCAAGAATGTACACCAGGGCATGGTGTGAGACCACCGACTTTTGCACCCTCATTCCGTGGTTATTTCTGCCCCTGGACTGGACCCCAGAGCATCTGCAACCGTTGGGGTCACATTCAGTATTTGGGGCCCTTGGAAGGCCTTGTTCCCAGGCACAGCCATGACAAAGATGGGGGGGGGGGCGAGCAGGCAAGCAGATGAGGTTCCCCCCCAGTGGCATTCCTTGCCCACCAAGCAGAGGAGGAAGAGGGGAAGCGGCCATGTATGCTGAGGAGGGGGGGGAACGGGCAGGCCCAGGCCCACTGCTGACACCACCCACGCCAGGAGGCTACTGGGTGCAGTCGCTGCTGCAGCACAGTGGCAGGCCCGCCCAAGGCCATGGGCCCTTGGCAACAGCCCCAAAATGCCTGCCTACTACCCTCCCCCCACGCCAGCCCCACTTGCATGCGGTTCCCAGCACTGCACCTCCCCACCAAGTGGCAGCCTGCTGCATACCGGCCAGACCCCGGCCCCAAGTTTGGAGAAAACCACAGGACCCCCCTGCCCCTGTTCTCCCGTCTCCAACCTCAATCCAGTCCGTACCGGGTTACCCCCTCCCCCGACCTGCAGCATCACCTACCATCACCTACCGCTCCTCTTGCAGCCAAGAAGACAGAGAAAGAGGGGGATTTTCAAAAGCCAGCAGTCTCTATGGTAACGTCCTCCAGGAAAGGCCCAATGAACGGCTCCCTGTGGGTTTCGCCCTCCCTCTGGATCTGCCAGTCTAGCCCATGTTTCCCCCCTCCCTTTCTTTAGCACAAAATCAAAGGCAAAGCTCTGAAGTTCACACCAGAATTTGGTCTGCCTCCCCACTCCCGAAAGGGCTACGGTGCCCCACCAGCTATACAGTAATCCACAAGGTCTCCAGTGGGCTGTCATCACATGTGGGCAGTTTTGGGGCAAGTTCATGTGGACTAGGCGCACCAAAAAGCCACAGCCAACAGTAAACAGGTGTTATTAAGTGTGGGAAAACAGCAGCAAACATCACACATGCGGATGGTGAACGCTAATTCCAACACGGTTTCCTGTTGAGAGGCAGGTAACCCCAGAAGCTAATGACGGGGGGTGGGGGGTGGCGTGCACTGGGTAGCATAGGGTTGCCAGCCTCCAGGTGGGCCCTGGAGATCTGGAATTACAACTGATCTCCAGATTACATAGCTCAATTCTCCTGGAGAAAATGACTGCTTTAGAGAGTAGACTCTATGGCACTATACCCCGCTGAGCCAGGTTGGTGTAGTGGTTAAGTGCATGGACTCTAATCTCGGAGAACTGGGTTTGATTCCCCACTCCTCCACTTGCAGCTGCTGGATGACCTCGGGCAAACGATAGTTTTGTCAGAGCTGCTCTCTCAAGGACAGTTCTGGAAAGAGCTCTCTCAGCCCCACCTACCTCACAGGGTGTCTGTTGTGCGGAGGGGAAGAGAAAGGAGTTTGTAAGCCGCTCTCACTCCGAGTGAAGGGCGGGGTATAATCCAATCTCTTTCTTCTTCTGCTTCTTCTTCCCCAAACCCCACCCTCCCTAGGCTCCACCCCCAAAATCTGCAGGAATTTCCCAAGTCAGAGCTGGCAACAATCCTAGGGAGCAAACCGCTGAGCATTGGGGGGGGGGTTTCCCCTCAACACTAGAAACATATAGGTTGGTTCCCAGCCTGTACAACTGGCATCACCTCCCCCATCTTCCCCAAATGTCCTGGAAATTCGTCTGCCAAGAGGGCAGAGAATCCCCAGGTACAGGCAGGCCTGGCCCACGCTCGTCCTAGGGGAGAGGGAAGAAGGGTATGTCTGGAGCTTAGGCCCAGCCTTGGGGGGGGGGGTGTCTCTGACTGGCAGCAGCTCTCCAGGGTCTCAGGCAGAAAGAGGTTTTCCCAGCCCCTGAGATTCATTTAACTGGAGCTGCCAAGGACTGAACATGGGACATTCGGCACACAAATGAAGCTGCCCCCTCCAAAAATGGACCCATGAAGAACACACATGAAACTGGCTCATGCTGAATCAGGCCCCCCTTGGTCCATTAAGGTCAGGATTGTCTACGAAGACTGGCAGTGGCTCTCCAGGGTCTCAGGCAGAAAAGGTCTTTCCCATCACCTGCTACCTGACCCCTTTAACTGGAGATGCCAGGGACTGAACCTGGGACCTTCTGCATGCCAAGCAGACGCTCTGCCACTGAGCCACAGCCTCCCCATCTCATCCAGTGGCTCAAGTGGAGGAAAGGGTACTGCTAGGATCTGAGGTATCTCTCGCTGGAGACGTTGCCAGGGATTGAACGTGGCACCTTCTGCAAGCCAAACAGGCTCTCTGCCATCCCTTCCAAATGGCCCATAGGATAGGAACCCCCCTGGGGCTCACCGAGCACAGAGGCCTCCGCCTTCCTGCCCTGACAGCCCAGCAAACTGGCTCAACTGGAATAGGTGTCATACAGGAAATGGGTGTGAACAGCTGGATCTGGCCAGGGATCAAAGAGCAACATGGTGCACACAGCTGGTCCTAAGAACAATTGGGTTCCTCCGCCTTCCTGCCCTGACAGCCCAGCAAACTGGCTCAACTGGAATAGGTGTCATACAGGAAATGGGTGTGAACAGCTGGATCTGGCCAGGGATCAAAGAGCAACATGGTGCACACAGCTGGTCCTAAGAACAATTGGGTTCACCCCTCCCCCCCAAAAAAAAAGACAACTAGAAGAGAGAGGGAGAGTGGGCTCTACTGGAAGAAGCAAGCTCTGCAGAGCCTGCCTGAGAGGAAGGAAGTGCACCTGACTCCCGTGTGAATGTCTTTTTGCTGCATTTCTGTCCTCAAAGAACCAAGGCAGAGAACTGCTGCCGGATTAGACTGATGGTCCACATAGCCCAGCATCTTGTTTCCAGCAGTGGACAGACAGAAGCCTTAGCAGAAGCCTACAGAGCTGAGCATGAGAGGCAACAGCTTTGTCACTAGCATGACGGGTAGACTGCCTCTGAACTGGGAGGTTCTATTAAGCTACTGCAGTTGATAGACTTCTGCATAATAGGGGAAACTCAGCTAGGTCAGCCCATCCAGTCCAGCAACCAGTAGTCAGCCACACACCTCTGGAAAGCTCCCCGGATCTTTGCCCCAGAATAAGTGGTATACTGCCTTTGAACAAGGAGGCTTCACTGCTAGGGCAGGAAGCACAGACAGAGGTAATGTTAAGAGAACTCTACTGGTTCAGTCCATTTAGTCCAACATCATGTTTCCAAAAGTGGCCAGTCAGATACGGGGTCTCCAGGTGAAAGTATTTACCACCATCCCAGGTGTATTGGAGGCTCCCAGAGCACAGCCATCAAAGGGACTATCCTCATTGGTCTCATCCACTTTTCAGCCAAGCAAGCTAGGTGTCATAACAGCATCCAGTGGCAGTGAGTCCCACAAAGTAATTGCATCAGGTGTGAAGGAACCACTTCCTTTTGTCTGTCCCAGACTGACTAACAGTCAACATCAATGGATGCCTCCTAGTTATTTGGAAGAGGGAGCAAAAGTTTTCTTTTTCCGCTCCAAGCATAATTTTGTAAACGTCTGCCATGTCCCTCCTGAATTGCCCCCAAATCTTTGCTCTCTCCGACAGCGGACTCCGACTTCTTGCCCCCAAATCTTTGCTCTCTCCGACAGTGAAGGGACTCCGACTTCTTTTTCTGCCCTTTCCTGCACCTTTCCCCAACTCTCTGATAGGCTTTTTCAATTGGGCTTATTCATAAACCTATTTTTTAAGACTTCAACCCCCTCAGATGACCAATCCAAAATGATACTCCCTATGGCTGTTAAAAAATCATCCAGTTCCCTGGGCATCGGAGATCTTGACAAAGGACTCCTCTCTCTGCCCATGGTGGGTTGCCAGCCCCCGCTCAGGGAGAATAAAGAGAGCGTTTCTCCCAACCATGAAGGAAACAGGCTGGGCATTGTGGGTGCCAAAGAACTCCTTGGTACAAGGCTAGAGGGGGCACAGGGTGGCATGACAATCATGGGATGTGCTCTGACGGCAAGCAAGGCCACGGATCCAACCCGCAATCTGAAGTCACGTGGTTCCAATAATGAATCTCTGTCAGATATCTGTGTCCCATTTGAAGGCTTAAAATAGTCAAGTGGTTTTTTAAAAAATGTGTCGCGACTAAGTCCCCAAAGGTTATTTTGCCTACATTGACGAGCTTAGCTGACTTATATTTAAATTAACCTAACAGATAAACTCTTGCAGGGATGCCTGCTTCAGTTTAGCAGTACAGCTCTTGCAAAGTTTATCTTTGTTATTTGAATTGCCAATCTCACTGCAATGTGTTTCCAGATATAGCTCCAGCATCCTGTATCATGCAGTGGCCAATCAGTTGCCCTGGAGAGACAACAGATAGGGCACAGAGGCCAAAGCCTTCCCCTGACATTGCCTCCTTGCAGTGGGATTCAGAGGTCTTTGATTAAGAAGGTTTCCTTTAGCCACCGTGGCTAGTGGTCATTGATGGACCTCTCCCCCATCAACCTGTCTAATCCCCTTTAAAGCCATCTGTCCTCACGACCACCCATACACCCATAGTCAACGAGTTCCGCACCTTCATTGCGTGTTGAGTGAAGGACTTCCTTTTGTCTGTTCCTGAATCTACTACCAATCAACTTCATTGAGTGACTCAGTTCTAAAATAACAGGAGAGGGAGAAAACGTTCTCTCTATTCACGTTCTCTACCCTGTGCATAATTTTATATACCTTTATCACGGGCCCTCTTAACCTTTTTTTCTAGACTGAAAAGCCCAAGATACTTTACACCTTTCCTCATAGGAAAGGCACTCCAGACCCTTAATCATCTTGGTTACCCACTTTTTCCAGCTCTGCAATATCCTTTTTGAGACACGGTGACCAGAACTGTACATTGCATTTTCACTAAAGCCTTACCATAGATCTATGCAGGGGTATTACAACAGTGGCCGTTTAATTACCCTTTCCTAACAATCCCCCATATGAACCACGCCCTTTTCCCCACACTGCCACATACTGCCTGTCACCATTTTCATCAGACTTTCTATTACAACTCCAAGATCTCTTTCCTTTTCAGTCTGAACCAATTCAGACTCTAGCAGCATATATTTAAAAATTGTATTTTTGTTCCACTGTGCATCACTTTACACTTGCCTATATTGAAATCTGGAGCTGCGGTGGCCCAAGTGGTTAAGACGCTGAACTGCAGGCTGTGGAAGGTCAGTAGTTCAGCAGTTCAAGACCCGGGTGCCGCATGACAGAGTAAGCTCCCGTCTCTAGTTCCAGCTCCTGCCAACCTAGCAGTTCGAAAGCAAGAAATTGCAAGTAGATAAATAGGTACCACTTCGGTGGGAAGGTAACAGCGTTCCGTGCACCTTGGTGTTTAGTCATGCCGGCCACATGACCACGGAAATGTCTTCGGACAGCGCTGGCTCTTCGGCTTTGAAACGGAGATGAGCACCGCAACCCTAGAGTCGGATTCGACTGGCTTTCGAGCAAGGGAACCTTTACCTTTACCTTTTACACTGAAATCTACCAGGTACTGATGTTAACTGGCCTGTAATTTCCTGGATACCAGTTTAAAAATTGGTTCAACATTTGCTCATTTCCAGTCCTCTGCTACGGGAGCTGATTTTAGCAGCTAGTTACATATACTGGTTAGCAGATCAACAATTTCACACTTGAGCTCCTTAAGAACCTTCAGGTGTATGCCATCTGAACCTGGGGGCTTATCTGCTTTCCATTTAGCTAGGACTTCCAGAACTCCATCTGTAGTCACCTCAACTTGACTTAGTTCTTCAGACACCCTTACCCAAACTAAGAAGATAAGAACATAAGAGAAGCCAATGCTGGATCAGGCCAATGGCCCATCCAGCTTGCCCCCCCCCCCCAAGAATACAGAGCATCACTTGCCCCAGACCGAGAGAACTAGCAGCTTTGGTGAGGGTTTGTGCCCCACCCTTTCTACAGTAACACCAGACATACAGCAGACATGCAGCTCCCCCGCCGTCTCCCCATCTCCCTTTAGCAATCCTTTTGTCCCTTTGTCGCCCAACGGCCCATGTGCCTCTCTAGCCAGCTGCCTGCTCCTAATGTATTTGAAAACATGTTTAGTGCCTCAATGCTTCTAACAAGGCACTCCTCTCATTCTATTTTATCATCAGTTTTTGCACTCCCTTTCTGTTCACCTTACTTCATACCATTGTGATCACTGTTCCCAACTGGTGCAACAACATCTACAACTTTCCCCAACTTTGAGCCCCGCCCCACTCAGAACCAAGTCTTGGATCACTATGCCTCTGGTTGACTATCTGACCAACTCTCCTAACATGCAGCCATTAATGAAATCTGGGAACCTCGTTTCTACAGCATGACTCGAATACACATTTGGCCAATCAATATGAGTTTAGTTGAAGTCACCAAGTATTACACCATTCTGCCCTTTAATCACCTCCCTTATTTTCCTCTCCATTTCAATGTGGCAATCGTACATTGCCACTCTGAAGTAAATACTAAGGTCTGGTATCTCCACCCATGTTGATTCTGTGTGGGAGTTTCTTCCTTATATATTTTCTAGCTTCTTAGACTCTACAGTGTTTTTCATATACAGACCAATGCCACATCCCTGCCTGTCCCGTTTACAGAATTTGTATCCTGGGATACCAGTGCCTCATGTCCCATTGTTTTTCCCCATACCACCAGGTTTCTGAAATGCCTGCTATATCTACATCATTGTATAGTACCAAGCTCTCTAACTCCCTGATCTTGGCTTGGAGACTTCTAGATATTGGCATAACAGGCACCTGTATCTCATTTCCCTTCCTAAGGATCCCTGCCTTCCTGGGCCCTGAGGTTTCTTCACTTGGCCTTTCCTGCCTTCTCATTCTCAGGTTCTAGCATGGTCCCCTCAATATTACCCCAAGCATTTGCTGCATCATCCATTACAGAGGATTCGTCCCGAACCGAAGGCTTCCCAGATCCCTGCTTTCCTTCAGATGTTAGTTTAGAGCCTGCTCTGTCACCTTCTTGGTATTCAGTACTGGCATTTTGGTTCCCTTCCAGTTCAAGTGAACCCGACACTCTTGTACAGGTTTGGCTGGTTGCAGACCAGTTCCTAGCAAATCTAAACCTTTCCTCCTGGCACCACTTTCTCATCCACTCTTTGGTACTCCTAATCAGTGCCTGTCCAGCTGGCGATGCACACAGAACAGGCAGCACCTCTAAGAGCACTACCTTGGAAGTCCTGGCCTTTCACCTTCTGCCTGCTTTCTCCAATGACATTTCCTCCCGATCCCCATCTATCAACCTATTTAGACTGTGTGTGACTTTTGCACCAGGCAAGCAGCAGAGTCACTGTGCTGTGGTCAAAATGCCCATCACAGACCCTAATCTCTATATTCCTAATAACATGGAATTCACTGCCACAGGAAGTGGTGGCAGCTACAAGCATGGACAGCTTCAAGAGGGAATTAGATAAGCATATGGAGCAGAAGTCCATCAGTGGCTATTAGCCACAGGGTATAGATAGGAATTCTCAGGCTGGGGCAAGTGATGCTCTTTATTCTTGGTGCTGGGGGGGAGCAACAGTGGGAGGGCTTCTAGTGTCATGGCTCCCCCACTGCTGGACCTCCTGATGGCACCTGATATTTTTGACTACTGTATGGACTAGATGGGCCATTAGCCTGATCCAACATTGGCTTCCCTTATGTTCTTAATAACTGTATCACCTCTTCTTCCCAACCTCAGGGGGGTGTCCTTGGTACAAGGGGATATCAATTCCTCATCTGACAAAGGAGTCCCATGCCCTCTAAGGAACCATCTCTCTCCTCCTCCTCCTCAGCCTGACACCCTCCAGCCTCAATCTCCACGAATACAGACAATACTTAAAACACAGTGAGACACAGTGAAATTGTAACCAGCAAAGCAACTGCGTGTAGAAAAATGGTTTTTACCTAAACAAAGATAATTAAACTACTCAAACTATTCTATGACAAGCAATTTTATACCATATACACAATTCATAAATACAAATCCCAAAGCCATTAAATATCAACATTCAAATTCTCAAATCGTAGGGCAAAACCCCAAACGCTCCCACAATCCATCAAAGGCTCCTAAGTCACTCTGTTGAAGGTGCTCAGGTGTCTTCAGTTTTCAGGAACAACATCTCTAGAGTGCCTGCAGGAGGACCTCATCGGGACCGCCATCTTTGGATATCAGTACTGTGGCTCTGTTTGTCTAGTTACAACTTGGAACGTGGCTTCTGTTCCTGAAAATGGAAGACACCCGAGCACCTTCCACAGCATGACTTAGGAGCCTTTGATGGACTGTGGGAACGTTTGGTTTTTTGCCCTGTGATTTGAGAATTTGAATGTTGATATTGTTGGCAAATGAATGGCTTTGGAATTTGTATTTAGGAACTGTGTATATGATATAAAATTGCTTGTCATAGAATAGTTTGAGTAGTTTAATTAACTTTGTTTAGGTCAAAACAAATTTTTTTTACACGCAGTTGTTTTGCTGGTTTCAATGTCCACGAAAGCAGAGCAGCAGTTAGGACAGGGGGGGATGGTCCTAGCCAGTCTCTGAATGTCTCATGGACACACGCACACACACCCCTCTCTCTCCCCCTCCCTAACTCCCACTGTTACCCCCCCACAAGCACCAAGAATACAGTGCATCACTTGCCCCAGCCTGAGAGTTCCTATCTATACCCTGTGGCTAATAGCCACTGATGGACTTCTGCTCCATATGCTTATCTAATTCCCTCTTGAAGCTGTCCATGCTTGTAGCCGCCACCACCTCCTGTGGCAGTGAATTCCATGTGTTAATCACTCTTTGGGTGAAGAAGTACTGTTCTAACCTGACTGCTCAGCAATTTCATTGAGTGCCCACGAGTTCTCTCTCTCTCGGGTTCTCCAAGGGGGCAACACTACCCTCAAGGGAATGCACGTATTCCCTAAGAGCCAAGAGCTCCATGCATCAGGCACACATCTGCAGCTTCTGTCCAGTGGCCATCCCTGCAAAGGACTGAAGAGCCCCCCCCTGCCCCACCACCTTTCTGTCTTCAAGGCTAGTCTGGTTGTTCAAAGTGTAAGAAGGGCACTTACCTGGACTATACCCAGTCCTGTCCCAAGAAGAGCATGTGTATGGTGAGTTAAGGCAGCAGTTCTCAAACTATGGACTGGGACCCAAAAGTGAGCCACAGCCACCTTGCAGAATAAGTTGCAAGAGCAGGAGATAAGAATGGGCTGAGCTGAGAGAGAAAGCTCGTGGAGGGGCCTGAGGGCGAATTCTGCATCATGCACGAAAGAGACATGAAAGACACCCTGTTGTTCAGCATTGCTATACAGGTTTACAAAGACTAAACACAAACGATAACATGTGCTCAATGTTAACTGCATTTTTATGTTGAAGAGGTTGAAAGAGGCCTGAAGGTACTTCCCAGTTTGATCTGGAAATCCATAATACGTTCAGACAATTCTGAGAACCACTGGCTTAAATTAATTATCAACACAGTTCAATTCTATGCAGGCTTACTCAGGAGAAAGCACTGCTGAATTCAATGGGAAGTTCTCCCAAGAACGTGCAGTATTTGTTAGCCTGCACCGTAGATATGCTGTTGGCTGGATGTCAGGGTCAGCCTAGCAGTTTGGCTCTAGCGCACCTGACTGGCCCAGCAACTGAGCTCTTGCAAAGTTTACTTTTCTCCAACAAGCAAACAAAATTGCTTAGCTGGCAGAAGTCGTAGAACCTACATGAAAACGGATCAGATGGCACACATCGGCCACTGCAATGCTATCTCATTTAGGGAGAACGTCTTTTGTTAACATCCCTGGATTCACATTCATGTGAAAACACAAAACTGGGCAGGGTTTTCAGGCTCAGGCACCCAAGTGTCTTGGTGAAGCCTGGCCTGTTCTCTGCTGTTTTGCCCAAATCTACCCCCATTCCTCCTCGGATTCTCCATGCCTAACCTTGGAGATGCCCAGCTAAGGTCATCGTTGCTGCAGACATGGGGCATGTCTTTTCTGGCTTTCGGTGGAGGCCGGCTCTGCAGAGCATCCCAGCTGGGAGAAACTGGCTCAAGACATCCACCAGCACTGCCTGACCC